GTTCCAGCCACTGACCAACAATATTTATACAAGCAAATGTCAGAAATATATGTATATATACAATCTATATACGTTATACATTAACTGGCAGCATCCGACTCCAGCTCCGTCACCACATTCAGACCTCCCCCTTCTCCCGACCGGTTACGCCGTCCGTCCTTCGCGTCCGTCCGTCGCGTCCGTTCGAACCCTCTGCGTCCGCCTCCACACGCTCCATGCCAGTGGCTTCATCTTTGGCCACAGCACCCAAAGCTTCCATCACCTGCAGTGAACCCATCAGGTAGAAAAGCAGAAACAGCGAACTCTTCCGGTTGGTAGAAGAGTAAGAACTCTGCAGCTGAAAGAGCTGGTTTAAGTTGTTTTTCAAGCATACATTTGGGTCACCACCTCTGTTTGCACAAGTTGGGACGGTCCGCAGAGCCTCCGCTCTCTGGGGGCTTCACCGACCGCTTCACTGGAGTCCATTGAGTGGTTGTGTCTCTTAAGGAGCGCGTTAAGGACCCTTCAAAACTGAAGTGTTGGCCAATCATTGGCCAGTCATGAAAAACGCCGTGTCCTCCAAAAAGAGTTAATTCATCTATGAATATCTATGACAAGAAACTCAAGCTGAAATCCTGCAGGAGCCAGCCAGCCCTTGTTTTCTACTTCTTTCATCTACAAACCAATTACTATGTTTCTCCATATATGAGTGGTTGGCAAGTTTACTTTTTCTCTATGATGTTCAATGTGATTAGGTAGCGTCCCACTGCCGACCTCTGGTTGTGGCGTTTGACCTGGAGACTGTGACTCGGCCGCGTCGCATCGCGCCCAAGCCAAGTTTGGGGTCAATTGGTCTTCAAAGGGTCGACTGGGAGGGTATAGAAGTCATACCCTCCCGATGCTTCGACGCCAGGGACGAACGCCGCGAACGCCTCTCCTTCGATGCTTCGACGTCCCACGCCTCGCCCGTCTCCACCTTCCCCATGGTCTTGCTGCTGGAGACCTGCGATGGTCAACGGCCATTGAAGCCGCTTCCAAATGGCTTGAATTTGTTGAAGGTTTCATGGGAAAGAATACATGACCAGTGACCAGTACTTACAAAGGACTTTCAGCTTGAACTGCATGTGGTCGTGGTTTGTGGGGGGCTTGAGTGAGATTTGAGGGTTTGCGTTGAGTGTTTGCCCCTCTCAGAACCTGAGTGCGAAAATCGCAAGTACTGGAGGCATTGGAGCCAAGAATCAGAAAGTTTGAAGATCCTTTTGAAGATAATGAAACATCATCGGTTGGAAAGAACTATATATATATATGTGTGTGTGCAGCGGCATTTACACTATCTATTATGTGGCGGCCCTATCTCGTTTAGACTACTCAAGTAGGATGTCATGTCACCGTATCTCGTTCAGACTACTTTAGTAGGGAATCACACTATCTCGTTCAGACTACTTTAGTGTCATCAAGCAAAAGCATCTCGTTTATTTGGGGGGCCTATCTCGTTCACAAGCGAATACTGGTGATAGACAAGCAACTAGAGCATGCCGTAGGCTACTTTAGTAAAGCCAAAATAGAAGTGGTTGCTCATATATATATATATATATTATGAAAAACATATGCCGGCCGGCTGAAGCAGACTTCTAAGTCTTCTTCTGTGTGCGTTTTGCTCTTTATCGAGGGGGTGAACACCTGCCTTTAGATGTCACTTGCACTAAGGGTCTAGCTGTCGATCGGCAGGTACAAGGTATCGTTCAGCAATGTAGACAGCCCATGTCGCCCATGCTCAGCACCTGCAGCACGTCAGTCATGGAAATCTCCTTGATGCAAACGAACTTCTGCCGGAAGATCTCCTGATATTGAAGGAAGCCCAAAGAGCGAAGCCCTTTGCTACTAGGAGCTTCTTGCTCCTAGTAGTAATGCCAGTATCAATGCCCTTTGCTACTAGTCGCTTAATCCTCCGATTATGAAAAAAAACATGACCGGCGCCTGACGGTCCTTACAACATGGGCCCTGTCCTGACCGTCCTGACCCCCCAAAACTGCGAGATCCAGAGTCGAATCTGGTCTGCAGTCTGCGCAGTCCACCTTCGACTGCAACTCCCGTTCGACTCCATTGGTCCATTCGTCCGACTCCCAAAGGTCTTGCCCAGCCCACGCGTATCTTTTCAACCTGAGACCAGTCCTGATGAGAGCCCGCCGAAAAGAAATGCTATGTACTCGTGATCCCATCCGGGAGTCTGTGTCGGTCAGAGGCTGGGAGGCCAAATGGCCAGCAAGTATATACATGTTTTGGAAGATTGATGGAAGTGGCCCCTAGAAAGAATACCCAACAGGTGGGGTTCCACTTCCATGTTGTTTACGGTATTATGATGAGTGTTTTGTTGCATGTCTCCCGGTAGTGTCTGGCATGATCCATGCCTTTCTTGATTGGCCAGCAGGGCACACAATAAACAGGAGGTAGATGTGGAACGCGTCATTTGGGCTAATTACAGTAAATAGGACTTGGGCAAACTGTCTTCACAGGTTCAATCTATCTCAGTACGTGTCCACTTTGTTCAAAAAGGTTGCTGATCTTGTCCATCAGCAGTTATCTCAACTTCCTCATTGGCTTTCAGTGCAAGTAAACACCAAAATAATTTGATACGAATTGCTGGTTGAAATGGCACCCCATGAAAAACACTGCCTCAAATGGAGATCCCCCCCCAACACGAAAACGAGACATATCGATGGCACATGAAACCTGCGACCTAAAGAGCCAAGACGGATTCGGTACATATTTCCTTGTACCACTGGTCCTCTCTTCAGTCGAAAGTTGACCCCACCCCGCCCCATTTCCGTCCCTCCTTGAATTCAGCCGCAGAGATCTGACCATTGCCGCCCGCATCCACGAGCCTCGGACGTCGGTTGCACATGCGTCGCCTGCTGTTCTAGCAGTGCAGCCTGCAGTGCAGCCTGCAGACTCAAAAGTGTTGGAAGATGTAGTAGCAGGAAAATGAACGTATATATCTAAAGACATTGTATTGTAACTAGTTATGTTTAGTTTTCTCATGGCCTTTTCTAGTAACTCGTCCAGGCTAGAATTCCAGCCCGAATCCATCCAGGCAGTATTTCTTCCCGAACATGGTTTCCACGCCCGACCCTGGAATTCTCGCCCGATCACAAAAAATCACACCCGAATCACACCGATTCTGGCCCGAATCGAAAGGTTAAGAAGGCTTAAAAACTGCAGGTTTGCAACTTAGGTGCTTTGCAAGTAATTTGCAACATCTGCCCGAATAATGCAGTTTTCAGGACAAACCCTGGTTCAGACCGATGTTCTTGAACTGGCAGAAATTTGAGCCAGAATCCAGGTATATATAGTGACCGTAAATCCAGTAGAAACCAACCGGCCCACACTAACCGGGCATGGTTCGCATCCTTGAGAAGATCCGAGATGAATGATCACGGACTTCCGCTTTTCGGTGTTCAACAGTGCTCACGTCTGAGCTGGTAGAATTATAAAGTATCGCAGCCATGACGGGAGCGCATTCTGTTGCAATGAGCTTCTGAGTTGGCTGCTTGGCTAGTGCGGTGCGTCTCTCCTGCACCGGAGAAAAAGCCCGAGCACAAAGGGAAAAGGGGGGAGAGAGAGAGAGAGAGAGAACAAGAAGGCAAAAGAATGCACAAAAGCAGCGAGAAAGAAAGGAAAAGTTGCCAAAACCTTCATGCCTAGGCTAGTTGCAACAACCAGGCAATGGACAATGCCCATTATCAGATCAATCGTTAATGATGTTTCATGTTCCATTGCCTTGCTAGTAGCTTGGTCTCAAAACCATTTGACCCAAATTGGGATGAATCAAACACGTCGTTGCCCAGATTGCAGCCAACATCCGAAGTATGGGACCACGACCCCCACGAAGCGGCGAAGCGGGGGCACCAACCAAACTCACTGTGGCATACTTCCTTGAACACGCCAAAGGTCGGATCTCCAACAGCACTGTGCAGATTCTCCATCCAAAGTTCCATGATGTCCAATGGTTTTGGTTTCCATCGCAGCACCCACCTCCCACAATCCCCCCTCCGCACATCCCCTACTGAGGCTGTGTTAGGGACGAGTGGATTTCATGTCAGGGACTCTTCGCGAAGGTCAAGAAGCCGCTGAGGTCTCTTGGTAGATTGGTGGATTGAGTTGCTGGATCGTGCCCCCAGGTGCCCCCAAGGTTGAGTTGGAAAACCTCGTCCTTGAGCATCCCAAGGCACGACCCGGCGAAACGTGATTTCCTGCTATATAGCAACTGAAGGAGGAACCCAAGACTCGAGAGCTCGAGGCTGGCATATGCCAGCCACCTCTACAAACCTATTGACTAGCACATCTCCCAAAATCCCAAAATGTCCAGTATTGGTGTAACAAAAAGAATACGTACCATCCCGCTTTAAAGTTTTCATATACAAATATATATATATATTATATATATAATATATATATATATAACTATATTATATATATATACTATATACTATACGCTGTGGTTTTATCGGTTTTTCCCCCATTGTTAGCACTGCCCCGTGGCCCAGTTAACTCCCATCTTTTTCTCAGGTGCAGGCGCGATTCCAGCGAGTCGCTTTTGGGGCGAGGCGCGTCTGCGAGGACCACGAATCCCAGTCAACATGCGTCGAATTTCACGCCTGGGGTGGCCTCGAGCTCTCAGGGAGCTCTGCTCGGGTTCCAGTTGAGGTTCCCCCAAAGGTTTCTTTTGGTGAATCTTGGATCTTACCAAGAAGGCGGATGCTGCACCATGAAGTTCCAAACGAGTTCGGGGAATTGGATTTGCTGTGTGATCCCACCAATCGAAAAACTTTGTCAAAGGAGGGAAAGCTCATGACCCGATCAGCTTCCAAGACCAATCTCTACACTGAGACATCCCAAGCTGGGTGCTCTGCCCAGAGAGGATGCTCCTGAGATGTGGCAAGAGGAACTTAACGCTTGGCTTTCGCCGCTGTCCTCTAAGCTTTGCACAAATGTCAATCTGAAGCTAATGACCTGGTTTGTTGCTAAGAACAAGGGTTCTTGAATGTTGTTTGAAGTGTCTTGTTTTTTGGGTTAACTTGGAAACAGCTCCATTTTGATCGTCCATCTGTGATCGCAGTCGCAGTGGTTCATGCTGTTTCCGCACTCTCACTTTTTAACCGGCTGCCTTAGGTTTGTTGGACACCAAGTAGACCTGCAATATCGGCGCAGTGACAAAAGTAATGACAAGTGGCACTAGCCATGGACAGCTGTCACTCTTGGCGAAGGAAAACGATAGACTGTGACCATTGAGAGTTCATGTTCGTGCATTCGCATCAATGTGAGCATGTAATTATATAAAATGTGGAGACCCTCCAAAAGCCACTGGAAGACGACAAATCAACTGAAACCCAGTTGAAGGCTCTCCGTACTCGATGTGCATCATCATACTCACACAGCTCCAAATCACGCCATGCACCGCCAGGGCCCGCTGCACCTTGCTAAAGGCATCTCCAGCATAGTTGTTGATGGCCTAAAGGACAAAGAACCACAGCTAAAGGAAAAAGGATTGGGAAAGATTGTTGATGGCCACGTCGAAAAACCGTGCATTCGTTGGATTTGGATTGAGTGGAGCCTCCATTCTTTTGTCGAAGCAGTCACAACACGCTTGCCTAAGACAGCTTGACTACCTTGCTTGGAGATTGACCTGGTGAAGGGAAACCTCAAGGCCAAACACCACTTTGATTGCTAAGGAAATCAAGAACGGAACGACCATCATTTCCGTCTCCAAAGCATAAACTTGGACAAGTTGACCATGGATCATTGTGAAAGAACCGCAAAAGCCATAGGTCCAAAAGAATAATGGGGTTTTGGACATTTGTACTCTGCAACAGCAGCAGGAGCCCAGTACCTTGATATTCCGGGAAATCTTTGCCAGGAACGTTCGGAACGGACGTCACATGTTGCAGGGCATTGTCCAGGAACAATCTCTATTGGTTCTTCTTGACACCTGCTACTGGACTCAAATGTTGCCCCGCCTTGCAATAGTTCTGGATCTGCTTGCTAAGCACCTCGGCCCGATCGACACCCCTGCTGTTAGATAGATTTCCTGAAACTTTGCTGTGCCCTCCCAACTCAGGAGTGAGCTGGAAAATGCTCCCTCCCCTGACCAAATGAAAGAGCATTCGCTCCTTCCCAGGACAACTGAAACATCAGGAGATCTGCAATATTCAAATTCTGTGCGCCACAAGCAACTATGCTGCCAAAATGATCTACATAGCGTACGTTGTCTACCAACGAGATAGATCACGAAATGGGTGATTCATGATTTGCATCAAGGCTGCTACCTAGTGTGGACATGGCATCTCACGAGATAGAGCAGACACAACTGATGACATCCGAACAACATCGAACAACTCTAGGAAACACACATGGTGAACTCGCAACGGACCAACTCGACCATTGAGGTACGAGAACACTTAGACCCACGGTCTACAACAGGACCAGTATCCAAAGATGTTTTATATACTGTATCTGAATCTAAAAACATGCATGCCTTGCGCAAGACTCTCACGGGCCGGACCCCGCATCCTGGATTGTAAACCTTCAAGATCGCATCTTATTTGAAGGCCCAAAATGTGCAATTCATCAGACCATTCTCTGGTTGGTGGTTTCAATGTCATTTTAAACAAATACAAGTCACTGGGATCAATCATCCCAAGTAGAGGTTGAACATGGTGTAATATCAAAAAAACTCTGGGGAACTACTCACTCCGCGTCTGAAAAACTGTCGGCTTTACCATCCACCGGAGGCCCATCCGGCTCGTCCAGGCGCCATGGTGTCCAATGGCTGAGGTTGGGCCCGTGGATAGCCCTTGCCCTTGCCCTTGGGCGGAGTCGCTCCGCGCGTCGCTCGACGGGGTGGAGAACATCAGACAGCACCGCTTATCTATTTCCACCAGAAAAGAAGAAACCTGCACCGCTTATCTCAGGTCCAAAAGTCCGGAAGTTGGAAGAGGACTCAGTTTTTCTATCAAGTCTAGGATCAGTAGTAGGCATGCTGTCTCAGAGATCTCAAAGACTACACCTGGACAGAACACCTTCGTCTTCTGAAGCATCAGTGACCATGGTCTTAGGTTTGCTGAAGCATTGAAAGGCCTACTGGCACCCACCATCCCACCCACCAGCCCTTATCATCTCTTATCATCTCCCATCCGTCCCCCACGACACTCGCATGCGCTGGCGCCTTGTCGTCGCCCTTGCGGCCGGCGCTTCGCTCGTAGTTGGCCTCGGCGCGAACGAAAACGGGGCGAACAGCGCAAAGCACGACTGCTGGTGCGCTCAGTTTGGTGCAAGATCATACTTTCGGGGGAAGTGGGGCCTCGATTCCAAAGTGGAAAGAATTGAGGCTCTCGGCTTGTCACGTCATGGCTTGTCTATGTATAGCTCACCCATTTGGGGAGTTAGTTGCACCAATTCCTGTAGTCCAGTCCATCAGGGAAGGTCGCTTTTTGTGTCCGGATCAGACTTATGCAACCCCATTTTGTGAAGACTGTCAAAGACTGTCACAGAAGTTAGCAAACATTGCGATCAATCGAAACAGAATTTTAGATGATGATGCTGATTATTGCGGCCGTGTCGGAACAGGGCTCGCTTTTCCGTGCCAAACATAAGACAGCGACGACTGAAGCCTGCTAATGGCTGGTTTGTGATTTCTGCATAGCTGTACTTGTCGGGTTGCACTTTGTAGCCTGGAAGGCTCTGTGACAATGCTCCTCCACAACACCCAGGAATAAATAATGCATGGATACTGATTAGACTAGTGCGACACCCAGATACTGGTGGCCCAGAGGGGGGTGGCGAAAGCTAGGCAAATAAACAACGCTGGGGCTCTTTCGGCAGCAAAAGCCAGGCCGGGAATCGCAACATGCCATGGCCAAGGGAAAAGGAGAGTGCCAACAGCGCCCCCCCAATACGACCCCAACACAGCCAACACGTGGCAACACACAACCACCCCAGCAACCGCCGCAGCAGCAGCAGCAGAAGCAGCAGCAACAGCCACAACAACAATAACTGTAACCAGCAGCGGCAGCGGCAGCAAGCAGAAGCTACCAAGCAGCAGCAGAAGCAGCAGCAGGAGTAGCTAGCAAGCAGCAGCACCAGCTACCAAGCAGCAGCAGCAGCAGCAGGAGCAGCTACCAAGCAGCAGCAGCAGCAGATACCAAGCAGCAGCAGCAGCAGCTGCTACCAAGCAGCAGCAGCAGCTACCAAGCAGCAGCAGCAACAGCTACCAAGCAACAGCAGCAGCAGCTACCAAGCAGTAGCAGCAACAGCTACCAAGCAACAGCAGCAGCAGCTACCAAGCAGCAGCAGCAGCAGCAGCTACCAAGCAACAGCAGCATCAGCTACCAAGCAGCAGCCGCAGTGGCAGCAGCAGCAGCTACCAAGCAGCAGCAGCATCAGCAGCAGCTACCAAGCAGCAGCAGCATCAGCAGGAGCCACCAAGCAGCAGCAGCATCAGCAGCAGCTACCAAGCAGCAGCAGCAGCAGCCAAGCAGCAGCAGCAGCCAAGCAGCAGCCAAGCAGCAGCCAAGCAGCAGCCAAAGCAGCCAAAGCAGCCAAGCAGCAGCAGCAGCCAAGCGGCAGCCAAGCAGCCAAGCAGCAGCCAAGCAGCAGCAGCAGCAGCAGGCAGCCAAGCAGCAACAGCAGCAGCAAAGCAGCAGCAAAGCAGCAGCAGCAGCAAAGCAGCAGCAGCAAAGCAGCAAAGCAGCAGCAAAGCAGCAGCAAAGCAGCAGCAAAGGCAGCAGCAGCAGCAAAGGCAGCAGCAGCAGCAAAGGCAGCAGCAGCAAAGGCAGCAGCAGCAGCAGCAGCAAAGGAAGCAGCAGCAGCAAAGGCAGCAGCAGCAGCAGCAGTGTTGCGTTGCAACAAGTGCAGCAACCCTGAACCGCATGAATGGCATCAACCGTACCATGACACGAGTTGGGGCAGCGTGACAATAGTATAGTTAATATAAGATGCACAAAGGGAAAACTCAACTACTGCCATGCTTCCACCAAACATCACCAAACTCTTCATCACCCGCTTCCCCCACCGAACTCTTCGCTCATGCCCCAACACGTCAGCAGCAACCAGCAAGCAGCCAAAGGCAATCAGCAGCACCAAGCATGCAAGCAGCAGCAGGTACTGAGGAGAAGGGTGGAGTTGAACCCGCGGGGGGCGGTTAAAGCCTGATAAATCAGGTATCTGCACTCAGGTCCTCGGCTCCCACCCTCCTTGCTAAAGCAAGACAGACTCCAGCTAGCTACAGCTAGCTTTCGTGACTAGAGCCAAGCCTGATTTTGTCTATCAACAGTGGCTGGACATGTTCAGTTCTGTTCTGCTTCCCGCGACCCGACAACTTTCCGGAACAGGGTTCTTTGCAGGAAGGCAGCTGTCCCGATTTGCCCAATCCCACTGACACACACTTGAGATTCATGCGTCTGACGTGCACTTTAATTAGGCACACACATGCATAAAGTTTCCTCTGGAGATACAAGCTTCTTAGAAGCTGTGCAGAACAATTGGTTGGAGCATGGGCGTCAGTTTTCCCCTCTGCCTCATACCTCACACCATTCCAAACCCAAGACCTTATCAAACCCTCTCTGTGAGCTAGTGCCTCCTGCAAGAGAATCACCAAACTCTGAAAGCCACGAGATTCTTTTGCCCAAGTGGCCATCTTCTGCTGCTCCTAGTGGCGACAACAGCGACAAGGGGGAGAGCTCGTGTACCCTCTGCTGTTGCAGGTGGTCCTAGTTCTGGGACTGGCAGACTACAAGCAGGAGCCATTGACAGTCTGCAGGTCTAAGTATTTCATTAAAGACACTGTCAGTCTAAGGCCGCTTCTAAGGGAGTGAAAGGCGCGCTGAACTAGATTTGAACTACAGACTGCGTACTACCCTATTCTTTGCACTCTCCAAGCTCAGGAATGAGACATCATGATAGAAACAACAAGACACGCGCCCCACCCGGGCGGTCAATCCAAACCAGAAATGGTGTTGCCAGGCCATCCACCGCCCAGCGCCTCAGCCAGGTTCTGCAGAGCTGAGCTCAAAAGCTGCACGTTCTTCTCAAAGAAGGCCTCTCCACTCGCCGCACTCGCTACATTCGGATCACGAATTTCGGAACCTCGCAGCGATGGACGTCCAAGTCCCAGATAGAAACACACCAAACATGAACAGGAGAGTTGCAGGGAACACACATCGATCCCATTCGAGTCTATTCATGTCTATTATGGTTTTCACGACAAATCAGAAGTTGAAGGCCGTCGCCGGAGCCTTGCACTAGACCCACCTGACAAAAGGAAGACCTTCCAAATCCTCTGGATGGATGATCCTGGTCATTTCATGGTTTTGTGGCTTCCAGGCTATTCAGAAATTCACTCATCGCTTCGCAGACTCCCTGGAGACTTCTTCTTGTTGTGCTTTGGCCTGTAGTATGAACATCTATGTTCCAGTGATCCACAGCAAAGCCTTCAACCAGGACACAAATTGAGATCATCTACTGAGATCAAATGAGCCGATTTCCCAGCAAATGGGTGTCCTCTTTGACTTGGATTCTCTAGATTCTAGATAGGAGGTCCATGTGCCGGCTGCTCACGCCGGCTGCTCACGCTGCTTCCACCCGATGTCGCCTGGTTCTCCACGTCGAGGGTCTCCACTTGGGAGGTGGCCAAAGGGCTCATGATGGACCAGTCCAGCAAGAAGCACTCCGCTAAGGGCGAAGCCGTGACCACCTGAAAAGACTCTGTGTTTCTCTGTGTCGTTATGTGTAATTTTACGGGGGAGGTCGCTATAGAAGAGGTAGCTATAGTAGCTATAGGTACTGGACGCCACTACCTACTGGACGCAGGATAGCTCAAGCACTATTCATTAGGCTCCTAGATTCTTTGGAAAATGTGTCTGGTGGCCATCCGAAGGTGTGGCTGGAGAAGTTGGGAGGTGGAGAACTCGATTCAGGCGGCTCAGGGACATCATCCGCATGGGTTGCTGAGCATCCAAAGCCAATAATAACTGGAAAAACAACACCAACCCGGGAAAAGAAGAACCAGGACCCCTACAACAATCTTAATGGTGCTCTTGAGAGTTGCCTGTTTTGCGTCAACACTGTGAAATTTCCGCCCTCCGTGATCAACGGGCACTGTGTCCGGATCTGTGAATCGGACAATGGGAATCTCCACGAACATCTCGTTCACCGACATCTCGAAGAGATCCGCCTCAAACGAATCGGCGAAGGAATCGTCAACGTCAACCGTCAACTCTTGCCAGCGAGAGTTGTGTTGTTCAGTTCGAACTTAGGGTGATGTGTGAGATTCTCCAGTACCTCTTGCTAGCATTGGTTGTGGCGAACACGCGCCAGCCTACCGGCTGAATGATCTATGGTCAAGGCTCGGCAAACATGGTTGGGAGCCAGGTTGGGGTGACTGCAGTTGTTGGGCTCACGTTCCACTTCTTGGGCCCACGATATCGTTCCGGATACTGATACAAGTTTGATATATAAGCCTTTTATATCCTGTTTTGTACCACGCCATCTAATCTAAGCCAGGCAAGCAAGTACTAAGCATCATCCTTATGAGTCCTGACTTTGATTGTAAATTTGCTTGTTGACACATAAAACATGCTGCCCTTGGTACGAGGGGATATTCATACTCCCTTCGTACACAAATCTCCTCGCCCGACCCTCCAGGCCCCACCTTGGGCGCGGCGTAGCTAGAGCTATACCTGGGAGGAGCTATACGTAGGTGAGTCTTTTAATTCACCGGTGTTGTTGCTTGTACATGATTGCACATGTGATTCCGTTGCAAGCAATACAGTTATGAGGGGTTGTTCAATTGGATTGATGATTCTAGTCAGTAATGATACTGAATCATGCATCGGTTCAAGGTCCATTTGCAGATATCCCAGAAGCAGATCCCTTCGGAGCCTTGCCATACTGCTCCATGCTCACCAGTGTATGCAAGTAACAACACAAGGTGATGCCACCAGCATCCGTTGAACCCACTCTCTAATCACGAGGAACTGTGCGGGATGACAACAAGCAAGTGAGATTGCATCAGAGATCCAGTCGAGCTTGTTTTACCCATAGCAAGTTGCCAGCGTCGCATGAAACCTCGTAGTGGGGCCAATAAAACAGTCCTTCCCATCCGTAGCTAGAAGCAACTCCAACATTTGCCAGTTAAATCTCCCTCCTACTCAGCTCAGCGTGAGAATTGTAGAGGCTTGTCCTGTCAAAAGAGCTTGAATTTAACCAGTAATGTTGCTCAAACAACATAAGGGCATTCTCAATACCTTCACTGTAGATTTCTACTTCAGCTGAGCCATGGTTGGAGTTCTTGAAAAGGGGTTGCTTGATAGGACCAGCAAAGAACATGTCACAGAATTGCGTGGATCCTAAATAAATACATGCTGAACCAACGAAAGAAACTGTTGCTTACAGAAAGCACTAAATTCATCGTGCCCTGTCAGCACGCATTGCAACAACCGTTGCAAAGGCATTGCAATTGACTGGAGATGAGAAGGGACAGGCGGCCCACTACTGTCGGCCTCGTTTGCCGATCGACGGCGGCCACGCGCCGCAGCCCGAATTGAGAAATACGGAACCATAAGAGTCACTGCATGGGACTCGGGACGCACAATGTAGGATGATATACATGCACCTTTGGCCCTCCAAATGGCCAAACAGCACAAATCCCAGTTGAAAGCTTGCAGAGGGTCTGATCAAGCCTGGAATTACAGCAAGTCTCCTGAGCATATACAAGTATATAGCCTGTACCTTTGTACATATGAATGCGAGTGACAAAACCTGTCGTCTTCTGGATACCAGGTATCCTGGGCAAAGCAGGGGAGAACTCCATCATCTCTCTTTTTGACTTGCATGAGGCAATGAAGACTTGGCAATACTTCGTCTGTTCACCTGTCTGTTTGCTTTTGGCAGAGTGACGCGCAGTCTAAACCTTAATCTTCTTCCCAAATATTCAGGCTGACACATCGGTTAAAAGTCCCAGCAAGTGATTCAAGAATTACACATTCAGAAAAACTACAGCACGCGAATGCGTGGCTCACGAATCCAGTCGTAGCCTTGAACCCATTGTGAGAACAAAGGCCTGGAATACTTTGCAGAAACAGGCACACCGAAACTCATTCCAGATCTGTCACGACCCAAAAAGGCTCCAGATCTTTCCAGAGCTGTGGCAGTCCTGTGGGTATGTGAATACCACTCAAAATAAATACAGTGGTTTCAGAGTCGATGGCACAAACCCCTACTAATTTCTACTATCTTTTAGATGGGGGTCCATAAAAAAAACACCATTGGGCCATTGGGGATTGTGCCATCAACTCTCAAACCACTGTACCAAGCAAGACACCAAGCAAGACACGATGAGCCAGCGCAGACTAGGGGCCATAAGGTGTTCGCAAGTGTTCACACGACTGACTAGATCTGATCATATCTAATCAGCAAATAAGCAAATAGTATATATATATATGTATGGGGTTAATGAACCTCCTGAAGATCAAGTCCTTTATTTGGGGGGAGGACCGGACTGATGTCAACTGATGCCAAGCACAAAGCCTCACCCCGTCTCGTGGCACACATCTACACATCTCCAAACCTCCAAGCCCGTGTCTCTACGTGGAGATAGCGCAAGGCCCCATCTGGGAGGAAAACCAAATGCCATTATAGAACTTGAACATTGAGCACCTCTGAAAAACGGTCGGTCTGAGAATTCGCAGAAGTGTTGAGTGGAATCTTCAGCACCGCTCGAGGGCTTAAGCCCCCACCACCCACATGATTTTGGATTCATCCGTGTCCTCAACTCACCTAAACCTCGACCCACTGCCTCATATCTTTTGGGCCGTGAGAACGGCGTTTGCCCGCTAAGATTTCGCCTCGCCTTCCTGCGCTTTGGCAGCCGAAACCGGCTCGAACATGCGGAGCCGCGTGTTTGAACCAACACGCACAGAGGTGGCCTGTTGGTGAGTGAAGACCATAAATACTAAATACATCTAAATACCATGACTGCAGTACAGTAGATCTGTAGCGATCTGCCAGAAAGCCTGTTTCATTCTGTCTTAAATTGTGGAGTGAATCCATGGATTGGAGTTCTTGGAGAAAGATACCAGTTGACAGGAAAGTCTGGCCAAGCGGCTTGGAACAAATGTAGTGTTTGAACGATTGAAACATCAGATGATCGGTTCAATGATACCATAGGGTGATGCTCGCTTGCTTCATGTAGATCGAATCCAGGCTACCGGCTCTCTGGGCAACAGCTTTTTGATCTGCTTGCTTCACAAACAAAACACAAACAAAGAAGATGTGTCCTTCCAAGTTTCTGATGCCCTCTACATTCAATGGTGGGTGTCTACATGAGTCAACATGCCAAAACCAGCAAACATGTCAGACTATGCACCGAACAGCTCTTGCCTTCCACAAGCTTGGAGCCTCTGTGATGTTGGATCGCGACACAGGCTTCGAGGTGAGCTTCTGGTCATGTCAGGATTCGGATTCGGAGTGGTTCCCGCATGGGACTGAAGTGGTTATGGAGTTGTGGTCGACAGAAACAGCCGCATTTAAGAGAAACAACTGCAATTCGCATAGCAATTCTCTCCCCAAGAGTCGACTCGATGGGCTGTACTCGATGTCTGGTTTCAGAGCCATGCACAGTAGCGTCAAGAAATCTAGGTTCCTGTGCGCTTGGGGTTCCCAAGCCATAATAAGCCATCTGAGGGAAGTGTCCATCCACAAAATGGCAACATTGGCAACACACACACACATATATATATATACACATACACACTATTGAGGTGTCTGGGGTGTGTTGGGGGGGTCAATGTTTTAGACTAGACAGTGTCAAGTTCAAAACTCTTGCTGGCTCACGCCCTGAACCCAACAACTTTCTTGAAGTTCTCGCTGCACAGATTTCATCCGCTGACAACGGTCCAACCGTCAGTCAGGAAGTGTCGCAGGCACACCGATCAAATCACCAATTCGTCGATGGTCGTTCAGCTGGGAGGAGCTGGGAGATGGGATGAACATTCCTCCAAGCCTGGTTCAAAAAACCGCAACCAGCGCCTCTGTAGCGCCTCTCTGTCGCAAGCTCTCTGTGGGCCATAGGTCCAGCAGTGCATGTTCGTTTACAAGCCTCTGTGTCGCAAGAAAGCAAACATAGCACTATCGTAGCGTGCTGGAAGTTTGGTGATATTGATGGCCGTTTAATGATTTACAGTAATGTGAAGGATGTATATAAGGTGGAAAATGTAGCCCTCCTCGAAGATGTGACTCGTCAGCAACATCTTCGAAAGTTTCTACTCAAATTGTTGAACAAGCCTGTCGTTCCTGCTCTCAAAGCCCTTTCATCCCTGCCGTCTAGTTCAATCACATGAGGATAGTTGCCACTGCCAAACCAACAGGACCACAGCTGTACACGCTCCCAAGGCGGAAGCGGCCTCTGCCCTTTGACCAAGCAAGGGACCATGAGATCCTCAGATCCTCCCAAGCAAACTGGTCCTGTGCCCCAGTGATTGATTAGCTCGGATAATTACTTTGATCCGCCCACTCTTGGCAGGGTGCAGTCTCCAATCCGTGGTAAGTAGCATATGTGTCCAATGCCAATGCGTCAGTGTTTGTTGGTCCACAACATTGCCTGGTTTTGGTGTGAGGCAGGGACCGCCAAAAGGTTCATGTCCACACCCGCCCGGCCACAACCCGCCCACGACCGCCCGCGGGTGGAGGGTTTTGAGAACATGTGGCATCGAGGTCCAGGCAGCACTGACAAAGCTGGTCAAACACACTGTGGTAGAACAAACGCAGGGATCACACCCCACGCACTCCACCTGATAGAAAACATTTAATCTTAAGGTACTTCATGCAGTAGCCACGTAGTCTTCGAGGTTGCAATTGTTCAAAAAGGCCGGCAATGTCTCCACCCCATTTGGATGTGGGAATCAATTCCATTGCTCGCAAAAGGAATGCCACACTTGGACGAGTTCGCATGAAAGGAAAGCGGGGCTAACATGCCGAAGCTTCCCTTAGACAGTTAATTTGACTTGGGCTTGGCAGAGTTGTCCACATTCAAGCCTTACTGGAAGAAGCAAGTTGTTGAAGGGGGGAGAAGGTATGAGAAGGTTGCTTTGCATTGCCAGTTCCCTTGAGAAGGTGTGATCTGATCATTGATCTGTAATGATCCAAAAGAATCTGGAAGACATCGTAACTATCTATAATTACACCATACAGTAACATGCATAGCTGGAGGACGCCTGGTCCGTAATTACCAGCCCTGCCTGGATCTTCCCGACCCTCATGCGCCGCGGCGATCCAAGGTGAAGGTCTCCGAAGCCTTCGTCTGAGAAGCCATGACTCCTGCAACGCTTGAACCGCCCGAGGGCCGCGGTGGAGCATGTTGGCAGCACTTTGTGTTGCTTCACCAGTCAAACGCCCCAAAAGTACCAGCAGTTTGCCATTTTTGTGCACTCATGTGCACTCAACATCCTTATCCCGTCTTGACATCCAGCTATGCGCAGAAGATGCGCCTGCCATGGAAGCCAAAAGTAGTAGTCCAGCACCACACATGGCGCAAGGGCCTTCAAGAGTCTCGCCTCACCGTTGCCCGCCACCACAGGGCCAGTCAGTTGACTTGCTGTTAGAACACATGCAATCAACATCATCTAACGTTGGGCAGTCACTCTACCATGATGTTCTGTGGGAAATATCACATATCGGGTAT